GCGTTGTTATGCATAATATCCCCAACAGCTGAGAACGACCGAATAACTTGCTTCCAGAAAGTAAACCCGAACAGAAGCCAGTTCCCACCGGCGTAAGCATGATCCCGCCGACTCCGGCCCACATGTATAGACACCCACACCGATGAGTTCGATTGTCGACAAACAAACAGAAAGGGAAAGCAAAAGAAGTGCGAATGAAAACATCAGAGAAATAATGAGTGCATACGCGAACTAGATAAAAACGCCGACTATCTACGATTGTCGCTGTACTCGATACTATACAAACCCTTGCGAATGCGTCCGAAGCAGCAACGGTAGTATCACTAACGCAACAATCACGAGTTGGCAGCAGTTGACGTTCAAGCAAACCACCGAACAGTGGCAAAAGAGCCTTTTGCGTTACATCGTCATCGTATGCTCTAATAACATAATATCGTTAAGGGTGGATGGAATTCTCGTGGAGCGAATTTCAGCGTAACAAAAACGTTGACGGGCAACCTATTCGGTACTCGTTGCCTGGAAGAACGAAGACGTTTTGAATACTGTGGTGGCAAGGACTGGATACCGTGAGGAAATTGTGGAGAAGGCAAGATTTAATCGACTGATTGTGCAATGCGGCACGAGCTGCTCGCAGGGCGTCGCGTAGTGAAGACGCAGTTGGTGGTCGTCGCCGACGGCCGTGATCAGCGATACCTTAGTTGGGGTAGCACAAGCAGTAGTAATAGCACCAGTCCTAGCAGTAGAAAGGAGATCTGGCGGTAGAACGAAAGAGTTCCTGCAAGAGAGAGCACCGGGACAATATAGCGCATCAGGCGAAAAACATGAAACCATAGCGCGCACATGTGGCAATGATCTATATACCGATACAACGAGATGAACAGTCGTACAGCGGCAACGGTAGTGTTACCAACAACGACGCACTGTGACGATCGTATAATACGAGTCCCTGTGAAAGTGTAGTGCCAGCGATGATTAAACAGGACATTTATAGAAGAGAGGTACTACGCGCTATTAAAAGGCTACCAGGAGAACTATCACCTTTATAGCGACTCCACACGCACAGTCAAGCGTAGTTTGGTATTTTGCTGGAAAGTTAGCTGACCTTGGATACTTTTTAGTACAGACTGACTCACAGACTTTATGAAACTGAGTTCTAACTGAATTACTCTTTCTGTTTGCTTCGAACACCCTTTCGCAGCTGGCACCCCTGTTGATTGCAGTGTGCGTGCTTTTTTGTGTTTGGCAGATTCTAGGGCAATACCGTTCCCGGTAGGCTGAGTCTTGCAGATTTTGTGATATATACATATATTTAGAAACCTAAACTACAAGTTTTTTTAAGAGTTAAAAAAATCGATAAATGCAAAAACAAGAAGCTATGCTGTCCCTGGTCAGAAATCAGAGTGGAGGAAAAAAATTTCATAGAATAAAAAGCCCTTGTGCGTACAACGGTTATACGCTTTTCTTCTATGGGCAAACGTACGTAATTTTGGATTTGAGAATCGAACACAAAAAAACGAGGCCGCACATACAAAGGTAACAATGCATGCGGAATACATAAACCCATACAAAATTATGTGCTCTTGTTGCTGTCACATGCGACGTACTAATCATCTATGTCAAATATAAGAAATGGTATGACCGAAAATAATAACCGTGTTTTTCTTATTCGGGTAGGATAATACTGCCACATGGCGAAATTGTTTCCTGTAGAAATAGAGCCAAGATGCGCTAGCTTGTCATTGTCAGCGTGTGATTATGAACACAGGCTGACCTAACGCGTTCCGTCCAAGCGACGAAATCGGAAGGGAGAAATTTGATTCCTCAAGCAGAACAAACTCAATATTAAGTGGGCCTACGATGACTATTTGGAACTAGCAGCGGCGTAATACCATGAAATTACGTTTTACCACAGCCCCCCTTAGAAATCCAGTCCTTTCACCGAATTCAACTTGCTCCTGAGTGGAATGATACTACAGAGATTGTAGCGAGGGTTGACCAAAATTCGCCTGTGATCATATCAGGGGATACGACGATATCTCAGAACTGACGTTCTACAGCAGAATGCTGCAAGATCCCTTAGAGTGCAGGAAAAATTCTGCCGCTCTGAAACATCTAAATCTTCGAACATCAACAAAAAAATATAAGAAAAACGTCAACCATTTAGCTCGGAAAGATGTAAACTAAAAGATCGTTTGTTTCTTGATGTTTTTTTTTTTATTATTATCGTCATATTGAGCAAGGCAACCATACGGGTTGGTAGTTCGAGCGTAAATGAACATAAAGAAACATATGTGAACGGAATCTTTATAGGCGGTATACCGTTGGTGCAGGATTTCGTTTAATTAACAGGAGACCAAACGATTAGAACAACTCATGTAATGAAAAGGATTTTACGAAAAAAGAGCTTTGAAACAACAAAGTAATTTGATATTGAAAATTAGCAATGAGTCTGTTTCTACGACATATTCAACACAACGAGATGAATATACTAGACGGTATCTATGTCCCAAGCACTCAGTATTATCGTTTGGGTCAAATTAGAAGGACCAAACAGGCTCCACATTTGGCGGACATTACTTCCCATTATTCGTCTTTGTACACAGCGAGAACGCATATTATTCATCTGTTCAATTCCGACGATTTACACCATAATACAAAAATATGTCGCTTCTGAAGGGAACGTTTTTTGTTTATGATAACACTGATAAACATCAGAAGCCAGCAGTACTTCAGTCGTTCAAGTCGCCACCATGCTAGTAAATATATATTATATATGAGAAAACGTATTCCGCATATGGTAGTCAATAAGCGAATTTTTCCACATCACTTCCTGCTGACGATGACTCACGTATTTGTCAGTTTGAAAGTGTTCCCCCAGACGCATTTCATTATAGCAAGTACTGCGTGTGTTCAGAAGTATCGCTAAGCCATGGTGTTAGTTCTCTGCCTATCAACGGAAAAGCTTGATCGTTGTTTAGCCGTTTGTAAGAAGTAATAAAAAAAACTCGTCGCACTATGAAAAAATAGCGTCACAGACATGATGCACTATAAATTGAACTACCTGGAACTTTTTAAGATCGCATGTATGGTGTTTTGTTGTCGTATTATGTATTTTTAAATTATTCAAATTGGCAATACGTAAATGAGCTGCTATAGTGTAATCCATGAGTTCTTAATAATTCTTTATCGCGCTTCAACCTGACTGCTATTTCTGTTCGATACTATAATGAACATCCGCGTTTAGGATTTATCCTTTTTGCGTTTACAGTACATAAATACCTACCAGTACGCTTGTATACTTGTGTGATTGTAGTGTAACTGACCAGTTACAAAATCAAACAATATAAGGGTTTAACCCCAGTTCAACTGCCTGTTGCGAAATATGATTGACTTTTCGTTCCTGACAGACTGCATTGCCCCAACTGTCTAAACACCTTTGTCCCCTTCCCCAATCGTCGTTTCTTTGATGCAACCCACCCTCTACGACAGAAATTGAAACGACGCTAGCCACATTAGCAAAGTGTGTACCAATGTACATAGACCACAGGAGATGTGCTAGCCCAACGTCATGGCTGGTGCAGTTATGGCCGTTGTCTCATGCAAACTGCTGGTGCTCCTGATGGACGACTGCCGCCCTTTCTGCACTCTTTGGTGGCCGTCTTCCATCAAGCCGAGCAGGCAACGGCCAATACGATGAACCGGCTTTTTCTGATTAAAACGTTGTATGTCTCTGCGCCGCCGCTGTTGCTGCCGCCGCCATTACTATCCTATTTGTGTTTGTCTCCAATCAAGCGAGACGGAGCGAACCACAGACGAGCGACGTGGACAGATAGCCGCGCTGAACAACGCGGAGAGGCATCAGGCGGACTTGCAGCATGAGCGCTACGGGGAATCGACGGACCACGTTTGAGCCGTTGGTTAAACAAACGTCGAAATTTCAGTATCACAATTCTACCTCTAGTGAAAAAACTAAGAAACATGGTACATTTGTTGCGCTCTTACTAACAAGCACGTTGCGTGTGCCTTTATGCATAGAACAACATTATAACGCAGTGACTACCACGCCGAGATCCAACAACAGCAGCGGTAACATCAACACATGGCTCCGATCAGCCACCGGCTGTGATTGTGCTCTAAACGATAAACACATGAAACAAAATTGAATGATGATTTTTCCCCATCAAGCAGCTTCTAGGCATTTTTTCCATACTTGAAGACAGCGCTGCACCATCGTTTATAAACGCCGAGGCAGGAACCAACATTTCCGCGCAGATATATCATAAAATTTACAAATGAATATTTATGTAAAATGGTGATGCGTGAAGTGTACTCAAGCGATGTTGTAAAAAAAAAGCGATTAAAATACAAGGAAAAAAGCTATTAGGAAATAATTGGCCGTTACTCGATGCAATCTCTATTATAAATGAAATTGACGTTTTATTTCCACAAAAGTAAAATCAAATATATTTAATAGCGAAACAGACGCAGAGCGAAGACCGCAGGTGGTGCTCTATTTATCTATGAACACTGCTCCACGCTCAGTAGTCACTGCGAGTGGAAATGATTTTCGCTATTAATCAGCCACTTTTTCCTATTCTTAATATATGTCCGTTTCTTTGACAGAAACGAGGTCCATGGCTATACACCTAAATTTTGAAACGTATTTTTGATTCGCACACTGCACAAACAATAGCGACATATATCGAATTTTACAAAAACAATGTTAACCATAGAGTTGGTCGCACTAGCTATATCGTTTTCCTATTTTCTTATGCTGTTATAAATGCGGTGATTTTCTTGATTCTGCAGGTTCGACCTAGACATCGGTAGGAAGGTTCCAATCTTTTCGCTTAATAGTGTCGTTTTACCAAGTTAAAAAGATTTGACACAGCGTACGCGCAAAGGTCTGTTACGTCAATAGTTTTGACAACCCAAAAAAACGTCATCTGGAAAGGAAAGGAAACTTGTTTTTGACGAGCTGATAAAAGATATATACACACCTCTATTCGCTCTTTGTACTAGCTATGTGTATAGGCCACAGGCGTATATGGCAGTCAGAAACGATATTCGAGTGTATCCCATTGACAAACGGCGGCTCCTCAACGCTGGTTGAACAAAATCAGTCTACCCTTTCATTGGTACTTTCTTCGACAAGTATTTCTAGCATTGGATTCTTACGAATGATCAACCATAGAGCGACGATTAAATATCAATGTTTGTAATGATGGCACTTCGTCTATGGTGCTTCTCCTTTTCAACTTTTGCGATATAGGCTATACTAGTCGCACATGCAAAGTTCTTCGTGCAACCTGCCGGCAGAACACCTGATTATTGGTGACGGCTACAGTCTCTTAAGAAGACAGGTAATGTTTCTGATGTAGAGTGTTGATGATCACACTTCACCAAATCATTGAATAACACTCCTATGAGAAGACACGAACCTCAATTTCAACTTTAGCTGCGTGAAATCAACGACACAAAAACTAACAACACAAAAAACAACCAACTATTAGAGATAGCTAAACACTTATCATCACAGCACAGCTTTGTTTGTATATGTAACACCAGCACCAGGTAAGTGGTTCAATCGAATTGTTGAATGCACGGTACAGGATTACAGTTCATCTCAGCATTGACGAAATTCGGTACCGAGGCAGGATCTAAACCGCTTTTCCGCTCTGCACTCACGCACTGCGAGCCCGAACAATAATTATTGCAATAATGTAAATATTGTAATTCTTATGCTACTGGTATTGAACTCACACGCCGGTCACACTATTCCATGGCACTTCTCTAAGCACTCGTCACTCCATGAAGGTCACTCGTCACTATACTCTAGGCGAGCACAACAACGACAATCCAGTATTACCAGTAGCATATAGCACTTTCGACTGCCACTATCATTTCCACCACGGTTAAACTAAGACAGTAGAAAAGACATTATTGATTTAAGCAACCTATAACGATCCTGCCTCCACAGCGAGGACGCGCTCTGTCTACGACAAAATCAGCACCCTGCCGTACTGTAGCATTCCGGCATCGTGTATCGTATTAACAAAATTAAAGTAAAGCAACGATAACAAATAATAGCCGCAGTAGCAGCGGCAGCCAGCGAACGGAACGATCGCGTGTCTCTATAATTGTGTGCCTATCTCTTCGTCAGAGTTGTCGAGAAACGAGACGATGGCGGGACACCAGAAGATGAGATGGGAAATGGCTTGCAGCCGTCGTCGTGCCGTGACTGCTTGCCGTTGTTGTACGTTCGAATCTGGGTGACAACAAGTAGCAGTTAGCTGCTGCGAGCTATCGAGCGGGCAAGCAATCTGCCCCTGCAGACAGGCTGATCTGCACGCATTCTAAGGGTAGCGCCGACAACTCTGATTCCAATAATCATCGACCAGAAAAACGGAACAATCGATGGAGCCTAGTAGTAGCAAGCACCCTGTGAGAAAGACGAGCTTCGTCAATAGACCGTTAGAGGTCGCTACTTGGGTCGTACACACTATATGCGCTACTCGCCGTTCAGTTGCTCACAAAAATGAGCAATGTCGTCGTTAACGATCAACAAGGGAGCTAAACGGCTGGCTGCACAGTGGCGCGCGAAGCAAGTAGTAGTTAGCTAGCTAGCTCGGAGGTTGTCGTTGCGGATTTAGCGGGTGTGATATACATGTGTTGGATTCTGCACTGCTGTACAAATTCTGAGTATACGGTGCATATGGTGAGAAATAATCAAATGCATTTCAAAGTAAATGGAGTTTTGCAGGTGATTTTTTGTTGAAATTGCTGAACACTGCACTTGCATCTATTTGTTAGAGCTTGTTCATAACCGTTATTGTCGTGATTGGGCCAGAAAGATCTGTATACTATAAAATCAAGTTAAAAAATAAGCAAAGAATGTGCACCTTGCCAATACCACACTGGACAGTTGTAATGAAGGTATAGGATTTAGATGATATCGATCGAATATATTTAAATACAAGTTTTCCGACGCACAGCCATACCTTGCTTAATTTCCCTATAATAAACAAATTTCTTACGGTGCAATAAGCATTAATATTGCTAACCGCTTTTGCCTTGAGAGGCATGCCTTTAAAGAAATCATTATGTTGGGTAAACAGGTTTATCTGTTCTGCTAGTTGCAACAATCATATTTTTTAAGTTGTAACATAGGGATGAAAGAGTGGATACTTGCTTCGCGCTATAATTGATGAAGAAGTTCAATCCGAGCTTTGAATAAAGGCTTCTTGTATTAACGGTCGCACGGCGACATTTTCGCGCCAAACAGAGCAATATGGTGCCTGCTCAAAACAAACAACAAAGATGGCACCCATGCAATCGGCATTCGAAAAATGCTTAAGCTTGTTTGCTCATTGAATGTAGGTTACTTTCAATACACAAAAATAAGTCACTCCTTTCTTGTAATGGCGAAAAGCAAGAAAAATCCGAGTGGATCGAAGGTGTGTGAGCTTTACGCACCATTGCACTATTATGAATCATTCTGTTGTCGCAAAGGTGATACTCGAAATTACTGGTCGCATACGAATGTATGGCCAATGCTTTAATTGAAACATTACTAATGAATTTGTCATAAACAATTAACCCAAACATGTTGTAAAGCGGCAGATAACAATCCGCGCAGTACCGTGTTAGAATACGAAAATAGAAACTAAAGGATGCCCAGCAATAGCTCTGTTAAAATAACAGTACTTAATCTGCACTGTCTGAACCGCAAAAGCTAAAATGAAATTGATCGGAAACAGTTTACTTCGTCTACAATGTTCCTCTAGTTACGGCAATGTATTCGATTCGACATTAGTATTGTAGAAGTAAATAATATTTTAAACGGCCAAGTTTCCAGTTAGGAAGCAAAAGTCGCTGTTCCATCAACGACACAAACGTAAACACTGTGCGCGTAAAGGGTCTACTATTTACGGTAAAAAATCTGCTGGTTTCTTGACAAATGAAAACAAAATGTTTTACAACATACAAATTGTTCCTGCGAATCCGTATTGCTAATCGCCATTTTAAAGAAGATAGCATTAAAGGAACTTATGTAAGGAATTGTTGGAAACCCTTAGGTAAAAATGTTGTTTGCTTATCGGTTTATATTCAGTTAAGATAGGGTAAATATTAACTAAATAAATAAATGTCTACTTTGATTGGACATTTTAGGTTAACATAATAGCTAAAAGTACGAGACGTGCGAGTATAGAGTATGTTGACCGGTACGAGAATCTGACTAGTAAAACAGAAACGTTAAGTCTACCATTTGAAAGCAAGTGTAACAATGTCGAACAGACTTGGTACATTTTTTCTGAAGTTATTTTTATCCAGTACAGCGCTTGATGGTATTGTAAATTTGCATTTATAGTAGCAATTCTTACTGCTGCGAAAAAATATTTGGAAACGTTTTCTGTTTGTCTATATCCTACAAGTTTGTCAAGCTCAAACTAAAGACGCTTATTGACTTTTCTTCTATATCACAACATTACCTCATTTAACTTAATAAATGCCGTACATTATTTATTTAAAGGCTGCAAAACATTCGATATTTCGGTGGTTTTGACTAGTATATATGACATTCAGTATACCAGCAGTGGAGCATGTACAATATATGTTATCCTATGATCTTCAGAGTTCTTCAGTGACAACAACAGCAATATTACAACCAGTATCAGTTTTTCAAAAATCACCCGGAATCATAGGCATTCGTGTTCACGCCAAACCAGCCGCCAAAGAGTCGGCGATTACAGGTATATTATATTGAACCACGTGACGATAACGTATGAGCTATAAACTAATTCAGTTATATATCTATAGCTTAATCTGTTAATACTGTTTTTGGATAGGGAAAGGATATTTGGAAGAAATTTTGAATACATTGCTTTATATTATTAATATAACTCTTATTTGAACGAAATTTTATAGTCATAGAAAATTTCAGAAGCCCATACTGTGTAATCTAGTCTTTAGAGTTAGCATACTTATTTTCAATAAAATCCTACGTCATAAGACTAAAGTCTACGAATGTGACTTCAGTTCAGTCACTTTTCCTATTTATTTGCAGGTGTTACAGCTGAGGCCGTCGACGTGCAGATCGGAGCACCTCCCGTAGACGGTGAGGCCAACACTGAACTTGTCAGATTCATAGCGAGACTATTGGATCTTCGAAAAAGTGATGTTTCGTTAGATAAAGGGAGCCGATCACGTGAAAAGGTCGTTTTAATTGAGAGCACTATGAGCCCAGAAGAGGTCCGCGACAGACTCAAAGCAGCTGTGGAATGATCGTCTTAACGAATAGGCCGCGAAGTAGGATCTCTATGTTTCTCGTTATGTATAATACAACATTACTAATAGTATTCCTATGCATATTTAGTCATTGCATAATTAGTATGATTAATCTATTGAGATAGTCGGCATTCTACTAAAAAAAATATTACAACTATTTTTTTCTTCTATTAATTTATGACTTGCTCGGTATACACAGTATATAATTTGTACCGATATAAGTGTTTTTATAGGGGGCACATCAAAAATGTTTGACGCTCTGGTGCATCACGTCACTGTTATACGGACTATTAATTGCTCATTTTTATTTGCAAATAGAAATGCAGCTAAAGGACGAGGACACTGTCCAGAAGATCTACTAAATGCCTAAGATAGCCTTGACTTGCTTCATTGTGTCGTCGGGATCCGCAACTGTGTGGCCTTGAGTGCGCGGGTCATTGAATATTTCATAATCGTTGCCGCCAAATGCGGTTTTGTCTCCAAAAAAATGTATTTCAGTAAAACCTTCATCCACAAGAGTTTTCAGGCAGTATGTCTTGTCCCAACCTAAAATTAAATTTACATTCTATTAGCATGTCATAGCTGTATGCTTGAAATCAAGTACATTTAATATTAGAAGTAGTAATAAATAATAATAAATAAATAATAAAGTAATAAATAAAAAATAAATTTAAAAAAAAAGTAGTAAAAAAAGAAGACATAATATTAAGGGACTACCGTTTAAGGGGTGAAGGAATATTGATATGGACACAAAAAACCAGTAGCGACAACTCAACGGATGGATGAGGACAAATCAAGGGACCGTACCAATAGGAAACACGTCGATAGAAATCTGTCCTCCAATAGCAAAGGTCATTTCCGAATCCTTAAAGTTTTCTTTTAGCGCATCAATCATCTTTGCACGAACATTGTGCTCTTTATCGTATTGAACAAAGTGATCCCGTTCTTCTTGATTGACGTTTCTACCCGCTGGACACACGTTAAGCATTCCCTTGCGGAATTCAATGAACGTTCCGCGCTTATGCGGAAGTTCTAGTTCAGAAAGGTACCTGTAAAAGGTTAGAGAGTAGATAAAAATTACGAAATTAAGAAAAGTTACGTAAAAGAGATTGATATTTAGTGTATTTGTTATAATCTAACTATGAAACTGCTAAGAAATCATTGAGATGCTTTCGACAATTGTAATCACGAAAAATTCTCTCCAGTATCCTTGACTAAATGTAATTGCGAGAAGACAAAGCAGGCGTAAATCTCGCCTTACTTCGCAGTATTGGCCTACGAAATATTCATAAAATACGAAACACATGTATTAAATTACCTTGAACAAAATACCAAAAAAATTAGGACACTTGTTAATGTATATGGAGAGATTATTTAGCAAATATCATCAGAAGGCACGGATGTTTTGAGCACCAGTTCAGGTTACATAATAGAACCAAACATTTGCTCACATTTTTTCATAATCTCTTACCTAAACTTGATAGAAAAGGTCATGGAGGTCTGGAAAAGAAGATTTTACGCTATAATTTTGTTTTATCACAGAGCTGCATTGAATCACTATGGAAAAATTTTGCATATTGAATAAACTAATTTAAATCATTGGTAAGGGCCTATACTTAGAGCTCAGGTATTTTCTAATCGATGTAAAGATAATTAATTGGCCACGAGTTAATTAAAAAATATAATTGTTAACCTTTAAAGAACCAAACTACTTCGATTTAAACTAACGAAAGCTGAAACCTCTGAATAGTAACACTTGTGCAATCAGCAGTACTAAAAGCCAGTTTTTATTCCATTAGCACAAAAAAATGCCCAGCTATCAAGGCGTGCTGTTGATTACCTCAGAGAGAAGTTTATGATCTTCTGCAATTTTTCTTCTCCGGCAAATTTCAGCAAGCTTTGATCAGTAATTTGTTTTCCTTTCTTGAAAGCGATTAGCCCGTTCTCTGAAAAAACGTATTCAAACTTTTCTATGCATGTACCCATCTGTTCTTCGATTTTGGCCATGTCCGATCCTCCCACCAGGCCAATAGGCACTTTCTTGTTAATTTCTTTGAGAAAGGCCTGCATCACGGGCGTAATAACACTTCGCGGCTTGGTCAATGTGCCGTCAACGTCAAACAGAAGGATCATTTTTGTCGTCATGGTAATTAAAATCGCTTGACTTCTAACGAAACCGATGACGAACAAGCCTGTAAATCCGTGAATAGGACAAAATTTGCTGCGAATACGACTTTGCTGTTAAGGAGTCACAAATATGGACTCTGTGAATAAATAAGTAACCCCAGGGAAGAGCTGTTGTTTTCACGGGACATACATCGCAACTGATCCAGATTGCCCACCTAAAAACTCTTCAAAAACGCTGATGTCTTTCATGAATTTCATAACGATAAATATTCAACAATACATGTTTTTGTTCGTAAAGTCCATAATACTGATTTCTTACACTCACAAGAGTAGTTATTAGAATACCTGCCTATAAACACACGAATTGCGACAGAGTAGCGGACGTCGATCTAATAAGTGACGATTAATGATCACCAACGTGAATCGTATCCCACAGAGAGAGACGCCAAACCGGGTAATGCTCCAGCGACATCAGCATACAAATAAGCTGTGTATTGCTTTGGCAACAAATAACGCTGTAAATATTTATCTAACTACACTACGACAACTTGATTCAGAACACAATTACACTTATTTTAGTGCAAGTAGCTTTTCCTGATTTATTATTACATGGATATGAACGCAGTATGATGACGCAAACGATTACACGCGGTCAGCAATAAATCACTTGGTTCTATAAGATGGCAAGACTATGCATTGACAGCCAGTCAAATATTCACACGTTGCCGGCTTTGCGCACATCTAGCCTGCTGATCACGATATATAATAACATTCGTGCCACTAACCATTTCCGAATCACCAAATGTACCACAATGGTACCACAAGCAATGTTGGATGGTGATTTTTTTACCATCAGATCGTACACGAAAACCAACGTGTTGCGAGAAACAACTATTGTATTTTAGATTTGACTCGACTGTATGTACGCTTTCAAGCTGTGTTCTTCGTATAGTAAAAATACGTTTTTAAGGCGTTTCTGGGAATTTTTTGGCGGCCAACTATATCGAACCAGACGTGAATGATGGTCATAGTGAAATTAGAATGTTGAAGGATCCTGTGATTAGCAAGGAAATGCGGCCAGATCGAATATTTACGTTCTTGTTTGGCGTGCGCTGATAAGTGTGTATAGTCTGGTCTCGTTCAGAAGGTCTTTATAGTTTAAAGCGTAATTACCTTCAGGTATCGCATCACTTTTTTTTTCTTTGTTTAATAGCAACCGTAATTTGAGTTCGCTATCTTTAACGATTACTGGTGCTGCCAATGGCAAACGTAATAAATATATATATGTATATATATATAACTAGAAACCAAGATTGGATGACTGCAGTAAATTGTTTGGTGCGCAGAAGAACAAAAGTAAATAATTTTTGGTATAAATAATTTTGGTAAATAATTTTTAAGGTAAATAAAACTAAAAATGTCTAAAATGCCGCATGTTTCCAAGCCTGCGGATCCACATAGAATACAATGTTAGAAAAAGCACGTTATTTATTAACTTAGATAACAGGAATAACGCGCTTCACGCCCTGTCATGTCGCTTATCGCAGCTTTTACTAACTCAAATATTTGGTAACTTATTACGGACTCAGCTAATATTATTCTCAAACGATAATCAACGTATTCTCTACACGTATTCCATATTAGATTTTGCTTCAATATCCGTCATAAATGCTTCAGGGAAACAATCGGATACTATTTCTCGATTTAGACGAGAGCAACGTGGTTCTTCGGTTACTTAGTCTTTTTAACCCTATATCGGACTGTGTACAACACGATTATTTTTTACGTTCTTACTTACTTATACTAAACATGGAGCGAGAAGCCAATTCGTAATGCCACTGTTGGCTAGTATTGATTGAGCACTAATTGCATAAGATGAATTCAATAAGATTGTATTAAAATTATCTGTCTATTTATTCAATTGTACTTATTACATCTAAAGTATTTTCTCCACTTTATTCATTTTAGTTATGGAAAAGCTCCTACCAAAAACGAGTTCTGAGTTCACCTCAAAGGAGTACTGGGACTGCTTTTTCAATCGGCGGGAATCTGCATTCGAATGGTACGGTGAGTACCACCAGCTGTCGCCTATAGTCTTCAAGTATGCCAAGCCATCGGACCGCATACTTGTCGTGGGCTGCGGCAACTCGGCCATGTCGTACGACCTACATCAGAGTGGCTACAAGAATGTGGTTAGCGTTGATATCTCGGATATAGTCATCAACCAGATGAAGAAAAAATATCCAGAACTTGATTTTCGTCATATGGACGCAACGAAGTTGGAGTTTAGCGACTCAGAATTCAATATAGTGATTGATAAGGGAACCATCGATTCACTATTGCCGAATTTTTCAAAAAAAAATATTACCACAGTGGAAAAGGTCCTGTCGGAGATCACACGATGTTTGCGGCACGGAGGTCGTTTCATGTGTGTTACGCTGCTGCAAAATCAGGTATCACAGGTTTTATTTGGTTTCTTTAGTCAGTCGGTTGATGATGTCACGTGGGTAGTGCGTGTTCATCGATGTGTCGAAGCAGAAGATACGAGGCACGAATTTACCTTGCCTGTGTACGTTGTTGTTGTTACTAAAATGAGACGATTACCTGTTGGTCCGTATGTCTTCGAGTCAATGGTTAATATCAATGCCAAGTCTGTTAGGCATTCCTCCGTCGAAGCCCTTCTTGCCGATATTAAAGATCAACAGAGCTACGCTTTTTTACGGAACCATTTATGTCATGCTACGCTTGACAAAGAATGTCGAACCGAGCTATATTCGGCAGAAAGTGACAAACCTAAATATGAGCTCTTTATTGTAGATACGCCTGGCGCAGATCGACAATCCGGTCTTAAATTTGCTTGTTTTATAGTGCCTGAAGGGCGCGAATCCGAATGGCTCTTCGGCACAACTGAAGGACGCAAGCTATCCGCGAAACAGTGCCGAGCGTCTCGGGTCGTTTTTGTGCATTTAAGCCGTAGTTTCACGTATAACAGCATAGAGGAGATCAAGGACGAGCTGTCGGCTCCCATTCGTCAATTAACGCCCAAGTCTTACAAGCAAGGATCTCTGATCCCGTTTCTATCTGCGGGCAAAGCTGCTAATAATCGAACATTAATAGAGAAGAATTATAGTCCGATTAGCGGTGACTTTGTTATTGAAGACGTTAAGGTCGGCAACGAAATCTACCGGCGGCTAATTTTCCTCGATCGGCCATCCGTTATCCAAACGGAGATGCGGGTCTACAAGACAAGAGTCGACTATACGTACTTATCAAGTGAATACTATAAATTTATGGTGGCAGCTCTAGGTTTTTTTGGCAATCAAGCTGGATCCGCTTTACTGCTTGGTCTTGGGGGCGGAATGTTGGCGTCATACACTGCAAAGTATGCCAAGTGGAAAGTGCAGGCCGTCGAATTGGATCAAGCAGTTATCGATGTAGCTAAGAAGCACTTTGGACTAGTTGAAAATGTCGAAACCGAGTGCGGCGACGCTCTTGACTTTGTGCGAACGTCCAAGGAAAAATTTGATATCATTTGGCTTGATATTGATAGCAAAGACGTCTCACACGCACTTACGTGTCCACCTGAGGCGTTCTTGCAAGAAGAATTCCTCAAAAACGTTGAGAGACTTCTAAGAACGAAGGGAGTCTTTGTACTCAATCTAGCCTGTCGCGACGAAAATAAGTGCAAGGATGTATATAAAACAGTGGCTGATAATTTCAGAAATTTAAAAATGGTCGATGTTCCAACGGACACGAACCAGGTCATCTATGCTTCGAACAGTAATAGTCTTGAATGTAACGTAAAAGAGATTCGATCACTGCTTAAACGATTTAACAAAGACAACGATGTGGAGGATTTCGAAAAAATGCTACAGAATATTGAGCTTTGATTTACATTTGAAAAAATACTTGTAAATATAAATAAATACTTACATTTGTTCCTTGAATTAGCAATCGATATTATTACTACTAAATGCCCATCGGTAGTCTGTAGAAAGATGAAAATATAAAAAAAAACGTACATCTTTCAGTTGCTTGCATTTCTTCAGAAGTAAGCGTTGCTGTACACCGGACATTACTCAACGAAACGGATAGGTCGAAATAAACTATGTTGTGCAAAACCTTAAGAACTAGCGAATACGTAATGAAGGCTGCTTACTATAACAATCATCTTAAGTTTTGTTTATTCGTTTATCTTTAGGTCGTATCTAACCAACTAAATAATAATGTTCGTATATGATACAAAATTTCTGCAAGAAAGGTTATTTAAGTGTGAAAAATCAGTTTAGAGTTCCGAGAGCTTTAGGCTCTATTTGCAGATAGCCAACCGAAGCAAAGTGCGCATTTTTATGACTGGAAATAGTGTTATGAGAAAAATGTACGGTTATATTTAGAAAAAGATATTAGCGAATATAATATCCGTTTAAGCGCTCGTGCAATTATAAATTAAAAATATATATATATATATAGAGTGGTCGTTTATTTAAATTGTATTGTTTTTTAAGAACTCTGATAATTTCACTTACAAAATAAATACTAAATTGTAAAATAAGGATCGATTTTTTATTTGAGAACTGTATAAATGTAACCTGTAAAATGCATGGTGTATATTTTTCTAATAAAGAAGTTTCAAAATGACATATCAAAATATATTATGATGTAATGTATTAGCGCAAATCAGTTTATTTTAAGGTAATCAACGAACTGAGCATTGATATTTTACTGCCAATATATCAAGCAAATACCTTATCCACTGTCATGAGGACAGCAATATTTAACCTACTATAAGCGAATTCGACGGACTTTGAAATTAAATAATATTGAAGTAGTTGGGATCGAATGATGGTTTTCTAAAATGGAGTGCTAGAAATCTTCTCCCTTCCTTTCTCCATGCTTGTACGAGTACTCTAGCCGCTTTTAAACAGCCATATACCCACTGCCTTTCCAGATGTAACTTCCCTATCTATGGCTTTTCAAAGTAAATCGAAAATAGAGTACGCTTGCCCTTCAGTTGCCTTTTTTAGGGTATGGAAAGCTCCGAAATTATATGGACTTAAATTGTGAGAACAAGAAGGTTGATGCCAACATTAGATATTCATTTGCCCAATCCAAAATATAATTGAAGCATTGCATTGAGATTTGGCGTTGTCACCGAGTAAGCAGACCGTGTGCTCCAATGTCTGTATCAACGACTGACAGGTCTTTGCATATTATTTTATTTTCGACAATTATATCATGATAGCAGATGTTCTTGGTATCCATTGCGATTTCTACCATCATTTTGCGTCCGAGCCTACTCGACACTGTCGCCGAACTCGATTTCTTTTCAGGGCAACATTTTTCTCTCGCTTGGTCCCTCTTCAACTGACAGTAGATATTGAACCATGCCCCGTCTGTGGCGACTGTAAGTTCCATAGATTGTACGTGAAATTTACCACACGTATTTCCAATTGGCTTGGAGTTAATTTTTACTCAGTGTCTGCATTTTCAGTAGTAAGGTTATAATTCTAAAATGCGTTGCATGTGAAATGTTAGTTTTGGCTAACAGAGCCCTTATTCTTTAAGTTCTGATTTCGCAAAAGGCCTTGTCGATTGTGGCGTCTTTCGGGTCTCATCGGGCGCTTCCACGCTAGTCTTTAACACTCTAATCGCCGTTGTCGAAACGTTTGCACCATTTACGTACTCTGCTTTTGCTTAAGGCATCCTTGCTTAATATGGTCTCCAATCTTCGATGAATTCCCGTAGCGCTGTGATCTTCGAACAGCAAAAGCTAGACTACTAAGCGTTGATTTTCAAGACTTAAGGATTTTTTTCTGAGGTCACCTTAACCGATTTTTACTTCCGAAGTTCTAGATAACCAAAGTATTTACAAGCTAAATTTTGTGTGCTACAGGGCAAAAAGTCAAAAAATTACTGTTACTTTTAAAATCAGCCGAGTTCGCTTGTAACAGCCTAAGACGATATTTGGCTGAAAAAGCTCACATAGCGCAGATACGATATAATATCTAGCGTGCATTTTTTAATATTTAAAAGAAAAAGGTAAAACTTTTACAGCCAATACATTTTGATAAGGCGCATAATCGAACGGATAGAAAATTACATTGAGTTTTTAATATACCGGAAGTATATAATTGAATTACACTGAGGCTAAAAAGTGCCTCTGTGATGTTACAGAACCTTCAATATAAGCAAAAATTGGAAAATATGTATATTAAACATATTTGTTAGGGGTATTTGACTCTGCTAAAAAAGATGTCTCCTATAAAAGTTAGATGAGACTCCAAAGTAAAAACTCAGCTCAGATGCATTTAGAGGGCTGCTTGTTAAGACACAGGATCGTACATGCTATCCCTAGTTTTTGAAACAACACGTATTGGAACCAATAAACTTAATATGTTCCATTCGAATAACCAGGTAGCGCATGCAGACTACTCTCACATGTCGTTCTCTCTTAACTATTTTACTTATCTGCTGTGAAATATACGCTGTTTATATTGATTTGGATAGTCCATGTTCAAGTCGCAACTTCAATTCGTTATACAACGTTAAACTGCTATCGACTGCTGCAAACGAAAGCACTATTTTTTGACTATTTTATTTCGAACCTGGTGATACTTGATAAAATGTTGGACCGAATGCCAAACCTCGAGGCGCTATGCACTTACAGCGCCTTATAAACCAAATCGTGTGACTGCCTTTTGTCGTTTCTACTCTGCCTGCTATGGGGCAACAAGCGGAGTTCTTCGTAACTCAGATGCCCTAGGTAAAGTCCCCAGACCAATTGGCAGAGAGTGCCACTAGTAAATGAGTTTACCCTCCCGCAAGCCGGCGATCATGGTGGTGCCGTGTGGCGGGAGGGCATGGTCGCAGCAAAGAGATGCAGGTTGCCCCGCGCACACTTCAAAGGGCATACTCAATGGGGCTCACACAGTGGAGACGGCACAAATTTTTAACACTGACTGATAGTTGAAATGTGTAATATCAATGAAGTTTATCTGCTTTCTTTTTTTAAAAAAAAAACAGTAATAAGCTGCTATTTTTTGTCGTTGCCAAATTTCAAAATTTTTATCGGTCGAAATTTCTTTTCGAAAATTGCTTTTCGAAAAAATTTTGGTAAGTTGAAAAATCACAAATTAAATATTGCTAGGGGTTTAATAAACTCTAGCGACGTCTCTGCGGCGATAGCAATAACAATCGAGAAGCTTCAAAATAGTAACCCGCCCAACGTGGGGCTCGAACCCACGACCCTGAGATTAAGAGTCTCATGCTCTACCGACTGAGCTAGCCGGGCGTTGAATTTGGGTTTCTCCAGATTGTACTCCAGCGAACTAAGCAATTCTGGTTAAGCTCGTATCCACATATGCGGCGGCACTCAGCGTATCTTGTGTCTCAAAATTATCTGCACTTTGCAACGTTTCTTGCGAGCTTTGAAACGTATTCTCGAGTTCTTGAAATTTCGCATTATTTTATGATTGTGACTGATGCAATGAACGTAGCAAGGTGCAATAATTAGCCGAAAATGTTTGTGAAAATGCTAATTTTATATAAAATATGTTCACTTTCAAAATGTACCAACGATTTGATTCACTGCGCGTATACCTTGAAATTATAGATCCTTGTACAGATATGTTCTAAAAGAGTTTGTGAATAATGTAATTATAATAATCAACTCTGTGGGTGAATGGTTAGAATCAACGGACACTCAGGTGACTCTCACTGCGGCCAGAGTGAAGAGAGTAATTTTAGAGAAAAGTATACAACCTTTTTACGGATTTTTTTTCTAAATGTTAACTTAATATAGCAAAACCTAGTTGCCGGCTCCTGTCAGCTAAGCTTCTGGACGAGCAGTAGGTGTCAAAACGAAGGCTTGGCCTGTCAAGCTCCACTAATACAAAAATACAAAAAATAAAGCGATATAATGTCAGCTCTGCAGTTCAAGCAAAGCTTATGAATTTTAATGTATGAGAAAGCATTGGGACGTCTCAGACCTAGCATGTGGAAGTAAATGTATTAGGATCCAATGGATTTCGTTGCTAACACGTAAATTATATATTAACCACTAGCTTTTAGGGATTTAAGGTATGGTTACACACAAGAATTGTTGCGTCCATATGTTTTGGTATATAACATGATAATATTACATTAGCTATGCGAGGATGTGATCGAAGAGTAGCCTGCTACAAAAACTGCATTTTTTCATGTAAACTAAAAGTACCAAATGAAGTGATTCGTTGTACTTGTTAAAATTGTTATTTTTATATTGAAATTATATTCTCAAAATTATAACCTTTTTCTGATTTTGAGCTTAAATTAACAGAATTGCGATCTTAGAACTCCCTCACAAAAAGAAGTACTCAAACTCTATCTTTGACTGATTTCTGTATATATTTCAAGTTCCATGTTTTCAATTATATTCACAATGAATTTTGTTGAAGTTGCATGTATATATGTCATTTTAAGACAATTCAATTATTTTACATTATCATACTTATTAGACATTGTAAAAATTACTTTTACTCACGCTCCTTTCTTAGTACGTAATCATAGGTAAGGCACACAAATTTTTTAATATTGAGACAATCAAACGGTTGAAACAAGTTGTATAAGCAGTTCTTAGAATAGCTCTCGTTAATTACAAAAATTTACCATTCTAAAGAAAATACGTGCTTTTATTGTATTAAGACGATAATGTGCCAATGGTATTTTGCAACCTGAAGACATTTGTGTAGATATCATTGCTGCTATATTTAAGGGACAATAATTTATTTCCTATAGGATGAAAACAGGTATTAAATATGATCTGTAACGTATTTATATTTATTATTAATTCCTACAATATAACAAACTATATAATTCACTGTATTGTGGACGCCTGTATTGTAGAAACTTTCTACAATAATAATAATAATAATATTGTAATAATTTACTTCTTATTCTAATTGTTAAATCACCAAATCACACTACTACTGGAGACCAGCCGCTTTTCTTAATATGGCCGAGGTTTCCGCCGTGCTCATAGCTTCATATGTATCCAGCTCCATTATGAATGTGGCTCGTCCGGAAGTGAGCGTTCGTAGCTCTGTAGAGTAATGCCGTAATTCAGAAAGCGGACATTTAGCGAAAATTATCCGATTTCCAGTGCGCTCGCCAATATTTTTGATCTGGGCTCGACGCCTTGAAAGGTCGGAGAGTGTTTTTCCTAAATACTCATTCGGAACTGAAATTTCGAGTTCCATATGGGGTTCCATCAGTTCGACCACTTCAGAAGAAGATTTGAGTCCGTTTTGGATACACTGAGCCATTGCAGCCGTGACCATGGGCAGGCTAGTGGAATTGGCAACGACGAAGTGATTTAGTACAATCTGGGCTCCGGAAAGTGGGAAGCCCAATATTGGGCCATGAGCCAATGTTAGCTTTACACCATTTTCGAGTGCCTTGAAATGGAATGAGCGAATTTTACCAAGGCCATTCTCATCTGTGACATGTAGTTTCATTAAAGGTTCCTTTTTGTCCGTCTTGGGAATCTTACGGATGTCGAGGCCAACTTCCACGTAGTGTTTATGGCCAGCGAGAGTTTTATCTAGAACATGCATAAGGCCAGCTATGCTTTGTGACAGCCTTTCACGGTAGGCGATTTGCAGAGGGCCAAGATGAGGCTCAACCTTGAACTCCCGCTTGATTCGATCTCGAACGATCTCGATGTGCAGTTCGCCCATGCCGGCGATTTGTATCTCGCCTGTTGATTCCTGGTGAATCACAACCAGACTTGGATCCTCACGCTGAAGACATTTCAGGGCATGCTCGAGTTGTTTCTGCTGTCCGAGCGAAGAAGCTTCAATTCTACACTGGTATACCGGATCAGGTGGCTGAAATTCAAAGAGAATAGCGTTTTTTTTTACGGTAGAATCTTTGTTTACTACAAAAGAACCCGTTGATCCCAAGCCGACTATAGTGTCGCCTGTAGTAGTGTATTTTAGCCCCGAGATCGCAACAATACTTCCTTGACCAGCCTGCTGTATCGGTACGTATTCATCAGCATTTACTTGGAGGAGTTCACCACACTTCTCGTTAATTTCTCTGTTCATGATGTAAATTCTTTGACCTGCATCAAGCTGTCCAGAATAGATCCTCACAAAGGTTAAAGGGCCCTTAAACTTCGTGTGAACAATCTTAAAAGCCATGGCAACTGTGTCCTTCTCTGAGTAGAATTTGCAAACTTCTTTTGGGACTGCAAATGATGGATCGGGCAAATAATTCACAATGGCATCAAGCAGCAGTTGCACTCCGATGTTCTTGTATGAACTGCCACAGAGTAGCGGAATGACAGCTTTGCATCTCGTTGCCTTTCTGATTGCATCCTTAATGTCGGCTGCTGTAGGCTCAGCACTGGATAACACGAAGCGCTCCGCAAACGCATCATCAATGGCACCCAGGTCTTCAATAAGTTTAGATCTCATTGCTAGAGCATTATTTAGCATCTGTGAATATTCGCCAGGTATTGTCTGAAATCTGGAGCCTTTCGATGCATCATTGGGGTCCCACACGAATTCCTGCATCCTTACAAGATCAAACATACCGCAAAAGTGACCAGTGTTAGGATTGATTACTGGTAGTTGGCAAATCAATGGTCGAATACGAAGCTTCTGCTCAATGTCGCATAAACACGCGTTAAAATCGGCACGATCTTTGTCCATTTTGTTTAGATAGATAAGCCTAGGTAAGCGGTAGTAATCTGCCTGACGCCATACGGTCATAGTTTGGGCTTCAACCCCAGCCGACGCATCGAGTATTGTGACGGCCCCATCGAGAACGCGGAGGCTTCGTTCGACCTCGACGGTGAAATCTACATGTCCAGGTGTATCGATCAAATTAATGGCGTGACCCTTCCAAGGAAACGTGATAGTCGCCGCGGTTATCGTGATCCCACGTTCGCGTTCCTGTGGCATATAATCCGTGACGGTATCGCCATCATGAACTTCGCCCATTGTCTGGGTGAAACCTGAATAGTAGAGCATTCGCTCGGTCGTTGTCGTCTTGCCGGCATCAATGTGCGCGATAATACCGATATTTCGAATCTTCGACAACTCGACAGTAGCCTGGGTACTTAGACAGCCTACGCGAAGTAGTCTGAGGTCCCGTACGCCAGGCATCCGTCGACACTGGCACAAAATTTTTAAAGTTAGCATGGAAACCACCAGCGAGTAATAGGAATAAATAAATATTTTCTTACATAGTAAGAAACTATTACGAATATAACACACCGACACGCAGCCGACGATAGCTATCCACCGGTAAAGTGAACGAAAATCAGCTCTTAAACTTAAGCTACGGCAGTGTTAACTTTTGTATTAGAAGGAAGGCTGTACGCAGTCTACCGTACCGGCAATATGATTTGTATTTTTTATTGTCCTACTCCAATCCTTCTAAATGCCGCAACTCTAGCACTCAGCTGTTCCGTGTAGAGTGTGCTGTATGGGATACAACGAAATTTCGTATTTGGCGCCATTCGTGCAACGTGTGCATTTTCGTAGCACTAAAACGAAATTACGATCTCATTTATATGAGGGAGAACTTCTTATATTGGTGCTAGTTACATGTGGTTTGTGCGAACGACGGCTGAGAAACAAACTAACAATTGTTGAATATTTTGGTTTTATAAACATCACAGCAGCAGCACTCCGCGCACTCAAGATGGCGATTGCCAGGGAAATGCTTGTGTGAAATAGATTCTGGAGGATGTTGCGCCTTCTGCAGAGATTATATCGATTTTCCATCAACGTGAGGAGTTTCAGCTCGGTACGTGTTAACTGGTGAATAGAACGCACTTTAATGAGCCGTTCAGATACGAGGATCGAGGGATAAAGGGAATTTTTTTGCGGATTTTAAGTGGAACCCCTGCCCTGTGGAACCTCTGTCATAGTGTTTCTATTCCCGAAAAAGCACACATAGATGTAAATAAGGTAGCTATTCCCGATAAAATATAACACTGAAGTTTCTGGTCATTATGCACATTATAACTATTTATGAAAACGACCTAGCGGCAGAAACATGTGACACCGCTGATCAAGTATGCTATTAAATGTTATAGAATAATTTATTCGGTTGAAATAGTTTACATGTAGAGAGCACAACGTATTCGCAACACATTCCCACGCGACGTTCATGCAAAGCTGGTTCTTTATTTTAACATATCTCTGATATGAAATACTTAGTAATCTGCGATAAACGCGATGCATAAAACGCGATAGTCGTCTCACTATTCCTGAAACTTACCTGCTTTGTTCTGATCTAGAAAAACTCGTATTTGAGCGGAATCAGATCTGCTGTGTGTCCATTGACCAATTTAGATTTGTAGAATAAAGCAGTATGAGAGGGTATAGGTTAAATCTGCGTTGCTATTTCACCTTGATTCTTGGACCTTTCTTCCTTTATTATTTTAGCCAAATCATTTAGCGTATCCAAGACTCCATTCTCATGACATGATAAGTGTTTTTTCAGTGTATCGATAAGTGGCTCTGCTTGATTCGGAGTTTTGCTCTCGCCTCAATTTGGCTCAGTGCAATGATAATAAAAACAGTAACCCAATAACAGACAAATAAGTTACGACAGTTGCGACGTTACTCCTCCATTGCGCATAGTTGAATAATTCTAGAGTGCAGTTAGTATAACAAAGGAAAGGAGTATTGTATTAATTGGTGATTCAGTGCGTTTTCAATGAGCAGATCGTATATTTTTGTATATATCGATATGTTCTGTTTGTCTTTTTATATGGGAATCGTCGTATAACAGTTTAGACCGGGCTTAAAGTATTAATGCTAGGCGCTAATGCTGGTAGTAACAATGTTGCTAAACACTGGTTTTTTAATACGAATAGAATAAATTCAATGCTCTTTGTCAGGATGTGGTTACTAGCATCAACCAGTCAGCATATTTATAGTATTAGCAATAACGGCGTCGTTGCAGAGCTAGTCGCGACACGCGACGACACAGCGAAGTGTGGCATAAAACAGCGATGGAGACCGTACCCGTAGCCAGCGCCGCAGTACCAGTCGGTGTACCCCAGTCGTCAGACAGCAGCAGCAGCGGCGGCAGCTGTAGTTCGACGAAAAATAACAACACTTCCACAAGCATTGACGTTCGGGACTGTACGACGGAGGGGCTTTCCGCTCTCCTCGATGCGACCACCCTGAACGGCGGAAACCATCACAATAGCTGTTATTATAACGATGCCCATAACAATCACGTGAGCGATTGCTGTAGCTTGGCGGCTACGAGTAAACGTACAGCGCCGCAAACGCCCACTACTAATGCCACTGCTACTTCTCAGTCCAAATCGGTAGAATGCGTGAACTTGCGTCCCCAGTCTGCTGTGGTGCCATGTGCTCCGACAACTAGCCGAACAAATAGTGGACTCGCCGAGCATCGAGAGCATCAACAACATCAGGCGCATAACGATGGCACAACCTTCACAACCATTACTGACACCACGACGGAGTCGACAACAGCGTTAACAGCAGGCAATGATGGTCCCACAAGTATTCCGCCGCCGTACCCTACGATGCCGTTCCGCGTCGACGGTATTACGTACATAGCGTATGAATCCGAGTTGCAGATGCCAGCGATGATGGAGCTCTTCCAAAAGGACTTGTCCGAGCCGTACTCGATCTACACTTACCGGTACTTTATCCACAACTGGCCAAAGCTGTGTTTTCTTGCCATGGACGGTGATAAGTGCGTTGGTGCAATCGTGTGTAAGCTAGATGCGCACAAGAAACGCGACTCGACCGCGGCAGCGGACGCTGTTGGGGGCAGTCAACAAAGCGGCAGCGCGCACTCCCGAGTGCAGATGAGAGGCTATATCGCCATGTTGGCCGTCGAGGCGGACTATCGCAAGCGGAAGATCGCCTCCAATCTTGTCTTGACAGCAATTCGAGCGATGGTCGCTAATCGGGCTGATGAAGTTGTTTTGGAAACCGAAATTACAAATCAACCTGCGTTGCGCCTATACGAGAATTTGGGTTTTGTACGTGATAAAAGGTTGTTTCGATACTACCTCAATGGGGTGGACGCATTTAGACTTAAGTTATGGTTGCGTTGACCGGTCATGTCGGGACAGGAAAAGCATCATATGGGGTAGAGTAATGGGAAAAATTACGATTAAGGAAAATAGGCCCGATGCAAGATGCAAAAAAGGGGACATTGTCAACGAGAGTTGAGCCCAAGAAACGAGTTGAGCATGTTAACTAATGATGGAAAAGAGCGAGCTGAGGAACGACTGGATGCCTAGTTAGTATGTTAGTATGTTTGTTGTTGGGAATTGCCCGTTTACAGATTGAGACCCAGCGGGCTGAGCATGCGTGTCGTTCAGGTGTATGTAATGTAGGTAAGGGTAAAACTAACGTAACTGTGCAGTAAGAAGGGACATAGATGGGAGAGTGCAAGATTAAGGGGGGAAGTAAGAAGGCTAGCTAATACGAACGTGTTGGCAAGACTGAAATCGAATAAGAGAACAGAAAGTCGCACGTGGAAGCGTATCTTGAAAATGACGGAAGAGATGGCGAACTGGTACGCAGTTTCTGTAGAAGAAGAATGAGCTGGTACTATCTGTAGAATACGAGTATGACATGACTAGTAACACGGAGAGAGTATAGTGGGCGACTGCTGGTTATAACGACAAAAATGGAAAAACAAAGAAACAAATGAATAAAATGGTAAAGCTCAGAAAATAACAATGGTACGGATTGAATGATGTAAGTGAACAACGATGGAGGGAGCAAAGGGAAAAGAGCTGTAAATAAATATTTATACCTTAATTTATAATGAAACGGACTACTGCACATCCAGTGTATGTGTGCTTATTTTCATTTAGATAGATAAGCGCCCAGCAGATACATAAACGATGATAGATAAACTAGTTGTTTCTCACCTGTAGTAGAGGAAGTCAGATGTACGATGTATGCTCGTGTACTAAGCTCGAAGGTAACATTTCGCTGCACCGCTAAGAAAAACACATTTTCCGAGGAAAAGACCTCTACTCTAAAAATATACGTGATGCATTCGAGTTCTATTCACTTCGGTATTTAATGGCTCCCCCTTACGTAATTATTAAGCAAAATATTAAAAAAAAACTATCGGACGTACACTAAAAAGTACGTATGGAAAGAAAATGTTCCCATCTCGTTAAAAAAAACGAAATTTTTCTTTATGGGCTCGCCTCCTGATCACTACCTCCTGCCTGTGTTGCAGAATGATTCCGGTGGTGGACTTATCCTGAGCGACTCGTGTGTTGACAAGTTGCGACGAACCGCAGATCCTGGCGAGATGCTTCGAGTGACTATCGAAGGTGGAGGCTGTAGTGGTTTCCAGTACAAACTATCCCTAGATAAAGAAGTGAAAGATGACGATCTGGTATTTGAACGTGATGGAGCAAAAGTTATCTGCGATAAAATGTCTTTTGGCTTCATCGAAGGTTCGTTAGTTTTGTAGTTAAACCTCCTAAGTTTAGATGTATGGAACTTCAATTCAACTCTAATTCAGCTAGGTAGGTACCAATGTATGTAAAACAAAGAAACAAGTATTGACCGCTATTACGCATCCAGGCTATATACATGTCGGGCTGAAGAACAACTTTCTATATTAAGAATATATTAAGAAGAACTGTCTATATTAAGATCGAATTCTGCGGTGTTATATACATTTGTATAGTTATGTGGCTGAGTGTACTTTCGGACAGCTTACTCGCATGAACAACATAAAATAACCACAAACGAATATTCAGGTGTGGCGGCAACCCCATTAAGTCATGTCTGTCTAGCAGGAACATGCATATAAGAAGAAGTTCTTCCTTTGTTTGTTAAGAAACTAGCCTATCGTCAACTTGCAGGTGAACATACTCAGCTACCACCTAGACGCAATTGTTAGTAAAACTATTTTAGCCGAACTACTTAATTTTAGAAAATAGATATATCCAGGGCGCTGTTCGTAATTTTTAACCGAGCCTTTTTCTCTTACCCTAGAAATAGACAGTAGCTTTCGTGTAGTAGACTGTTAAAGGAAGATCAAAAACGTATATGCGATTTTTCTTCTGAATAATTTCGGGGCGTTTCGAACCGCGGGATGAGTGGAAATGTTAACCACAGCTTTCAAAATACCTTGAGTGGAGCACCTATAGTGCTTTTATAGCCACCTATAGCTTACTAGAATTCTAGTAAGCTTAAATAGAAACAAATCGTTTTCAAGCTTAGCATTAGATCATTTATTGCTTTTTAAACAAATTACGCTAAGTCTTACTTGTTATTTACAGTATATCTAATGTTCTTCATACACTTATATCTGCGTATAGGATCAACGGTCGATTACGAGGAGGAATTGATCCGGTCAGGATTCAGGATCCTGGACAACCCTCAAGCAGATAAAAAATGCAGTTGCGGGGCGTCTTTTACACCGAAAATTGAGCTTTAGCATACTAAAAGGCGCAGATGATAGAATTTATCTTAATAGATTTTCAAAGCTGTAAATAAAGTAATTGCGCTGACTTCAGTCATCAGAATCATTTTTCTACTCCAAGCCTGATCAAAAGGAGCTAGTCTCATAGAGATAGTAGTAAATTTATATGCTTTTATTGAATGCTGTAGGAGCAGTAAGGAAGCAAGGTTTCAGAAAATGACCAAAAACATAGTTCAAATTGAATTTTTATGTAATTTCATCACCTGGCTAACGTAAATTACTAATTCTCAAGTATCTCTGGTCGGAGCCGGATTTTCACTAGCATGAGGGTGCTGCCATGCCAACGTTATACTGATATCATAGCAATTGCTATATAGGCAAAGGATTCGAGTAACATTTAGGTGATCCTTTCCTTATAACCGATTAATTGTTGATGTGCAACCTAAGCAAAGAGAAGACGGCAAATGTAGTAAAATAATCTCAACTATTAGCGCTATTTATTATAAAAATGCATTTCTTATTAAGGAGCTCAAGCTATTTCCTCTGTTTGAGAACTTCGATGAAAGCTTCGCGGGGAACTTGAATATTTCCGATCATACGCAAATTCTTTTGTTTTTCGCGGTAGGCACTAATCAATTTCATTTTGCGCGTTCGATCAGAACCAGATTTCTGAAAGGAAAATGATCCCGATCACTCACATGCAGGAAGCTGCTCAGAGCTCTACACTCGTCGTTTCTCTTCTTCTTAAGAACTTAGATAAAGGCTTCGCGGGGAACTTGAATATTTCCAAATTTATAGTAGCAAACAGTCTTTCGCTTATCGCAGTTTCACCTCAATGAACTAGTTATTTTCATCAATATTTCTTTAAAATGTGTATATTTACTCCGTATAGGCCAATTTTTCGCAATGATATGAGAAGAGCGTGTGATATGTGCATCAGAACTTATTAAATTATCAGAATATCAGAACACATGCACTCTTACACTGTTTTTTTTGAGGGCCTATATAGTTCTATAGTTTGTCCGGGATTACGAAGGCCAGATGCCGATCTGGCCTTTTCACTGTTAGCAAAATTTGCCTCTCTTTTGGGCATCCCCGTGGCAAATCTTTTAATCTAAGACCTATTTTTTTTTTGATATTTTATATTATATTTATTTTCTAGAATAAAGCTAATGTGTGATGCAAGATTTTTCTTTAAAGTATAAAGTTATAAAACAGATAAATTGAATACCTCAACAATTTATGTTTTTACAGTGTTTACGGGTACCGAAGTTACGTCGAATTATGGCAAGTTTGTCAAAGAATGGCATGAAAGATGCTGTTCAGTGAAATATTCTTTTATGTAAGAGCTACGGTCTAGAGTGAGAAAGTACAGTCGTGTATGCGCGGAGAAGAGTGGTTTCTAATCTGATCTCAAGTCACTTAATGAAGAATAATAAAAATAACAATAATAATCTAATATTATGGCGAAAGACCTACAACCATTTGTGTGGAGCTAAAACTTCCTCTTCGGTTTGTATTACTTAAACCTCATCTGAGCTAGAAAACATAAAAACAGCTTTAATTGTATAGAGCCGTAACGTGCGCAGAATCTCGAGGGTTAGTCAGCTCATTAGCTGGATTATCTGGTTTGATTACAAAACAGTGACATTGAAACAGTACGCTTGATACGAATGAACAACATCGCAATGCGTGTTTTTGATGATATCGGATGCACATTTTCTAAACAGTGCAGGATTCAAGTTATAAGCTCAACTGCTGTAGCCCATCTCAACGTTGCTGCTCTTGTTTATTTTAGAATGACGTCTGAGGTCATTCGATTACACTAAGAAGCTTAAACGCTACGCGACTTTCTCATCTATCACTTTCTGATTTCGTTTTATAAGGATCAATTTGTTTTAAATTTCTGATAGCGAGAGACTCTTCCCCTGGAGTCAGCCCCACCTGTTGCAAATACCCCATACGTTATTCGTTTTTTGCCGACATCAAGCGTTTATATATTAATTCACCAGACAGTGTCGCAAAATCGACGACTTTTTGAGTTCTGGCCGAAACAGCAGACGGAAAATCTATCATCATTGTGCCAAAGCTACGACAACTTACAATCTTCTGTGTGACGTTTTTATGTAACGCTTTGACGTCATCCCTAGCCAGAATCTTTCCTTCAGCCCTAGCCTGTAAGGCAACCGCATAGATTTGTTGAGGAATGTTGTTCTTTAGATGGGTCACCATCGAACGGCCAACCTTTTCTGCACGTGATGAATGAACGATCTGAGTGAATTCGTCACACGGTTTTCCATTAATGAGAATTTGCAGCTGCCGCGGTGAGGACACAAAAAAGAAGCAATGCGATGTAATGAGAGAGTGTTAACGAACAAATATGACAGAGATTTAAATTAATCATAGAACAGGCGCTTAGTTAAGAAGAAGAACAGGTTTACTGTTAAAGCAGATGCTGCTTTAATTGTAAGCCTAATTTTTTTCCAACCTAAGAATTATATGTGTCTCAAATTTAGAAGTATGTCTAACCTCGCTACAAGCCTGCTTTTGCTCTACCCTGTAGGTACCTCAGACAATTATAGGCATTATATGCGTTCTGAGTACGCTTACAGATTTGCTCCATTTACCATCCAAAGTATTCAGTAACAATTTATATAAATGGAGAAATGCAGTTTCATTTTACGTCTAATTATGCAATTCAAATGTCTCACATCGCACTATATTTGGCCGACCAATAATTATTTCATCATTACAAACCTTGCTAAGATTCGAAGGTAGGTAACCTGTCTCTTCGTAGTCGAAGCTGGCATAACCAGAGGTAATAGATTTGAGTTCATCGAAAAAATTAACAATGATCTCGTTTAGTGGAAACATCACCTGTAGCATGATCGTATTTTGGTCTATATTCTGACTGCTTTTCTCCAAGCCCCGGCGTGACTGGTTATGGCAATCGAAACAACAAACATAACAGTGAACGAAAAACAGAAACAATTACTTATCTGATGTTGTCATCTTTTATCTAGGCGCTAAAGCCGAGCCAATGACACACTTATGCCAATGACTCGATTTACAAGAATAAAGAAAATTATAATGATTTTACTGTATAGAATATGATTGCCCCAGACGTATCTGCTTGACGGGGTCACTTGGTTAACCATAGAAAAACTTAGATTCTAATTGCAGAGATCAACTTTAAGTGGAATAGGTCGATTTCTATATTTTGTAAATTCTCTATTGCAGCTCTTGTATAAAACGTCCGAGAAACGGTTTTTTAGCAAGCAATTTCGCGCAGTTAAAGACGTATCCAATCTTGCGAAACATTTATAACTTGCTATTACTACACTAGAGTATTTTTCCGTACCATACACAAACTGACGACGTCGCTAAGATAAATGTCTGGAGTGATAATTGTAGCCAAGGTCATTGGTTCGTAGTACTCCTCTATGATGAGCGGGTCAGGCATCAGCAGAGGGTTGTTCACAACCACCATTTCGCCTCCGTAGGCTTTAATGTTCTTCGCGCCTTTTATTTTCACCTGAGAAGATGACATATATTGGTATAAAATGTAAAAATAAGATGGCAACGGTCAAATATAAATCTTAGAACAGAAATGCTATTTTTTTTATTCGTACCCTTCTACCTAATTCATCAGCTTCTCTAAACCGTCTACCAGTTCATACATATAGAACGTATATAGTATCTAGAAATTTAGTTTCGCGTTATTACTAATTACCATTACATCATAGCAAACGAATTAAAAATGTATAAATACATTATAAATGTTTGGATAAGCATTGGATTTAAAAAAAAAAATTTTTTTTCTTAGTAGTAAAAGTTTTTAACGGTGTTTCAATTACATGCATGTAGAGAGGTAGCGTAAAACTAACGTTGAAGATTAAATAGTTAAAAGTAAAGCTCTTTATTAAGCCTTTGATCATTCGTGCCATACTAAAAACTATAAAGCTTGTCGAATGCTTTTAAATGGATGAATATTTTCTCTCAATCCTGCATATTTCTTTATAAAGTGATAATATACAGGAAAATACGATGCCTTATATGACACACTCGGTGAGGTCACCACCACTTGAGCATCAAACTCCTGATCCAGCCGTTGACAGAAAACATCCATATGAAGTAACCCTGCAAAAAGAAAGCAACAAAAGCACTGTAGTCTGCAACTTTACCTATATCAAATATGGATTTATTTACAGATTATTACAGCATTTTGTTCCTCTGGAGCGTAAGATGTCTCAATGGCCATTTTTGGTAACAATCTTTATTTTTTTTAGTGAAGCACGCTTATTTATTTACTTTTAGGGGAGATGTGTTTTTGAATATTAAGAGTCTTTCTTCCTGAATACTGAAAGGCTTAATATGAATACACTTCCTACGTGCTATAAGCGCTGGAATATCTGTAACCGATTTCGCATAAATGCATGGAGTACGCTACATGCATGTAACGCAGCCACATTAACGGTGATAAATACGACTTCATAATAATACTACTGAAAATAACTTCACAATACTACGAACTACAAAGGAATAACGTCGAACCTTAAAATTGGTAGCCTCTTATGCCAGCATCGTTTAAGTACACAGACAGTATTAATACTTACCTAAGAAGCCTAGTCTCCAGCCTTGTCCTAGTGCTGGACTGCTTTCAACATTAACAGTAACAGAGTTGTCGTTTAAAACTAGTCTCTCGATAGCATTTCGCAGCTCCACGTTCTTACTCTGGTCCTCTGGATAAATTCCTGAAATGAAATCAACCAAACAGATCCACGCATATGAGTCTTTCACTTCAAGATGCTACCTCTGGCAAAACGTATGTTTCTTTCTTTCCCAAGTACTAGATGTCTGTGTATAAACAAAACAGGTTCCAGAAGTTTTATAATGTTTATCGTTGGCGACATTTGAAGTGATTCCTGCTTTCTAAATTTATATATATATATATATATATATATATATATATACATTAGAAAGCATTGGAGGAAAGAAAGAAATTTTGTAGCATAACATAACTAACCAGCAAAAACCATAGGCCTTGACCGGTCGGCGGATCGCAGCGTGACGACGTCTTCTGGTTTCACAGTAGTGCTATGTAGCGTATCCCCAATATTCGCCTCGGTAGATACTCGCATATTGGCTACGACATACCCACTTTGACCGGCTCGGCTGCACGCTCAATAAATAAATAAAAATAGTTAGATTCAATAAATTATCAGAACGGCCCTATAATCAGTGAAATTTTAATGGTTTTACTTACAGCTCCTTTGTAGGTGTTTCGTCAGGATGCATAATTCCGACATCTCGTACGATGTAAACCTGATCGGTGTGGTGGCACCGGAACTGATCGCCGACCTTCAGAGTGCCATCGTGTACCATAATGAGTATGACAACACCCCGATATTTGTCATACCAGCTGTCAACAAGTAGTGCACGAAATGGAGCTGATGGATTGCCTTTGGGCCTATGAATCGCTCGTCTCACAAAGAAGAAACCCCGCTTATTACTATTATTATTAATAATGTTTTCGTCTTTTTGGCTACTCACTACAGCTATGGGACTATTACATTAGATGTTAAGTTAAATGGATATGATTTATCGATATATACACTATACGCATGTGTAGCTAAGGAAAAACTTCTTCTCTGTTATTTGTTAATCTTAAGGGTGTCGCGTATTAGGAAACACATTGCACATTGTAGCAAGGGAACTGATAGTGTCACACATTGACGTTAGAAAAGCGAAAACTTGTTGACGGAGGAAACAAATCTAGTGTTGAAAAATGTGTGTGAGAATGATAGGCAGTATGCAACGTAGTAAGTGGCATAAAAAGGTCGGTAGCAAAAGGTGAATGCAAACCATGTATAAATTTAATAGAATACTTTGATTAGTAAGATATGCATATATTTTTTTGTTTTTTAAAGATTTTAGTTGGCAAATACTTCAGTTTAAATTACAACGCAAATGGGGAGTAAAGTAAAGCAGAGCGGAAGTAAAGGGTACTCACGGTGGTATTCTATCAATCAAAGCGTTAAGTAGATCTTCGACTCCTTGCCCAGTTTTGGCAGATACTTTTAGAATTTCCTCTTTGTCATAACCAAATAGATTGTGGATTTGTTCAGTTACGCCGTTCACATTAGCCTTTGGCAAATCAATCTTGTTTAACACGGGTATTATCTCCAGTTCAGCACAGAAAGCCAGGTTGAAATTCGCCACCGTTTGTGCCTGTGTAGCATTCACATACACACATTAGATAAACCCTATTATCTAGAAAACGGTAAAATTAGAAGTTCATATAATTTGGGTACGTTAGTTGAATATTAGCAAAAAGTTATATATATATATATATATATATAACTTATAGGATATACTTTTATGAAATATATGCTCGAAGGACTACAATGTAATATCTGTATCTGTGTTAAAACTAGAAATACTAACTAAAAGGCATCGTACCTGCACGCCCTGGTTGGCGTCGACCAGTAGCAAAACACCTTGGCAAGCAGACAGGGACCGCTGAACCTCGTAGGTAAAATCAACATGACCCTACAGCATGGAAGGTTTTGCAAGAAATCGAGTTTCAAATTTGAAGGAGTCTTACTGTTACTGATGATTCATAGGCGCTACGTTTAGACTGTTTGGATTATAAGTAAAATCCGGAGAGAGATTTTTTAGAACAATTACCACATTATTTTCATGACATCCATGGCGGTAGTTTTCTATCGCGTATTTTTGTTTATGCAACTAGGAAGTTAGCTGGAATATAAGAAATAAGAATATAAATAAATAGCTATTCTGAACTTACCGGGGTATCAATTAAGTTGAGAAGAAACGCTTGACCTTTCCGCTGATATATCATAGAAGCACTTTGAGCCTTGACGGTGATTCCACGTTCTCGTTCAACTTGCAGCTTATCTAATACCTTGACATTGAAGTAATAGTGGCATCATAGTCTTAGTAAAACTGGCTAGGTCCATGTTGGCATTATCTTAAGAAAATACCTTCTCACAATCGTACCTGTTTATTTTGAGCAGATTTTCCAATGGTGCCGGTGAACTCTAGAAAACGATCACTTAGTGTGCTCTTGCCGTGATCAATATGAGCAATAATCCCAAAATTTCGAATTCGTTCCTGAGGGAACAATGACATGTCTACCTGCAATAGTCCAATAGAGGATCATGTATGTTCGCTGGTGATGCCCGTCAATATCAAGCTCTTTTTGTCCTAGATCTAGTTCGGGTCGATTTCAGCCCTACTCTGCCCACATACGTTGTTTTGCTAGAGCCCGAAAGTCGAGATCTATGCGTTGCCCAAGCTGTCGAGTTGTCGTTGAAACAAATCAACTTTGGTTATTCATGCTATCAAGAAAGTGAAACGACCGGTCAAGGCTTGACTTGAACCCGAAAAAAGGGGTAAATCTGATACGAAGTTTGATTAACTCTACACGATGTTTAGACAAGTATAACAATAAGCTTGATTCCACTAATTTTTAGTGTTTATTTAGCTTCGCCCTAATTGGGATTCTAAGATACAGAATAGAAAGATGGATACCAAAATATTTCCAATACGCACATGATTTGATATCAACCCAGCAAGTTTCTAATAATTAGATGTCTTTTTCCTACTTTATCAACGATAAATTTTTATTTCTCCTACGGTTTACTTTTTTCTAGATCATATTAATGCTAGTAGTTACCTGAGAGCTAACTAGTTAGATGGAAGACGGAGATGAAGTACATACAAATGGTTTCAAGAACTGAAACTTGAAATTACATTCATCAAAAGACCACACCGTTCTTTCAGGTGACGTCTGAGTCAAATTTTTTAAGCAAATCAGAAAATGTTTTTTATCTGAATGACAAATACTAGTTTATTTTTCGGTAAATGAGGAATTTAACGGTATACAACAATAATAGGTTTATTTACACAGAACTACAATTGTGTCACTCGTGACTTGTCATGAATCCCATTGAACGTAAAATATACTGCTAAAAGTTTAAGCATTGACTGATGTTTTCTTAGTGTATCTTTGTAATCTCTACCGTTTGGCCGAAAGAGGCTATCTACACAGTTCAGGACGTGTGAGTGTCTTTATTCTCTTGGCCCAAGTTCCGTTACTAACCTATGACAGACGCGCTGCTTTAACATATTAACTGTAAGCAAATTTAAATAACATTCGAATTGAATCAATAGTAGAAACGTGGGGAAAATATCGAATATACCAGATGAATGAGCAGCCATGAAATCACGCGTCCCCTTCATACTAAATAACAAACGAGAGATGATTTGAGCAAGATGTAGAAATTACCTCGTACGATTTTTCAAAGACAGGTCCCTGATTTCGGAAATTTTCCTCATTTTTCAGGCTCCTAAAATAAAAACACAAAATAGTACATGTAAGAATTTATTTATTTTTTTGACAAGCAAATAAGACGTATTTACAGGCTCAGAAAAGTCTCCATCATAGGATTCTATATTAAAGTCTATTTCGCAAGAAACTCATCATATCCTTTTTGAAGTCGTTCATCTGGCATATTAAAGTAGGAATGATCTTAAGTTCAGCGAACCAATGTTTTAAGAAGCAGCGAGACATAATGGCTAGTACTAAAAGCAGATACATCTTTGTGCTAACGTTTTTTTCTCCGTAAAGACCTCCGGGTTCAGAACAAATCAATTTACTTCGCATTATAATGATACTACAAAATTTAATTTAGCTAAAACTGGATATCTATTCTCGTCCGTCTTTAACAATAATGAATCTTCAATAATTCATGTTGCCTCATCTACAAGCATCATTTGTCATCGGTATTGTACAATTGCATGTATATATCTATGGCTTAATGTGATTGAACTTATATTTCTATTCAAAATCATCTTAATATCAATGAAAGCCAAGGACTTCAATGCTTCTCAAGCAATTTGACAAGTAGGGCGTTAAGGCCCATCGTCACTGTACGTGGATCATCCACAAGACCTGCAGACACCATTGCATTGTTAAGTAGTTGTTCGGCGAGGCTTTTGGCTAGATCCGGATTCGAATTTTTCAGTGTGGCAAGCTTCGAGATAATCGGATGAGTCGGGTTTAGCTCGAGTGTTGGCTCCAACAATTTGTATCGGTCCTCTTCACTAAATTGTGCTAATGACGTCTTGACAAAGTGGCGCGCGGCAGCCATCTCCTCTACGGATATGAGACATGGATGTTCGCTCAGGCGACCCGTGATCTTCACCTTGTGCACTTTTGAGGCCAGCGTAGACTTTAGCCAATCTGATAGCTGTTTCATGTTTTCAGTTATCACAGGCTCGGCTTCTGCATCACGTCGCATTTCTTTCTCGACCGAGATAACTGATTTCGACTTGAAGTGGCGTAACTGAACTAGTACAAGCTCATCGTACGGTTGATAGCAAAACAGAACTTCGACGTCCTTCTTCTTTACAGCCTCGTAATATGGCGAGTTTTCGGCAAGTTGCCGACTCGGCGCAGCTAGATAATAGATGTCCACCTGACCTTCTTTCATACGGCCGATATAATCTGATAGCGAGGTCTTCTCGCCAGCCCCTAGCGTCGAACTTTCGAATTGTAGCAGTTTAGAAATGTCCTCTTTTTCGGACTGATCGTTTGATGCAAGGATACCCTCCTTTAAAAACACTTGGTAGCTGGCGTAAAATTCTTCATATGAGGCTGGATTTTTTTTCATGTTGTCTTGCAGAAGTCGGATAAGTCGAGTTGTAATCAGACTGCGGATCTTGCGAATTAAGGCTGAGTCCTGGAGAAGTTCTCGGGAGAGATTCAAAGGAATATCCTCCGAGTCAACGCAGCCCTTTACAAATCGGAGCCATTTAGGGAGAATTTCTGCGCGTGCTTTAATTAGCACTTTTCTGCAAAACAAATACAAGAAAAATGTGTCTAATATGCGTTGAACAAGGTCAATACAATATTAAGACAGACCGTATGAAACGCCACATAGTACATACAATTAGTTCATCTAAAATTTCAGAAACCCTAGACAATGGGATCTTTGCAGATCGCATGCGCTTACTTATGTTTAATACAACAAATATAAAAAAAATTCTCATGATTTTTTTCTGTTTGTTGTCAGTGTTAATTGCTGGCTTAAGCTAGAGTTTTTTGGATTAACCTGGAATACAAGGCCACGCCACTCTCGGCATCTCGACTCATTTCAAAGAGGCCAGGTTTGCTGTCAGGCACATAGAGAAGCACGCTTAGCTGCAACGGAAGATCAGTTCGAAAATGCAGCGTGAATCGTGGACTGTCCATTGATCCACTGGTAAACCTGTAAAAAATGCAGCCTGTTTAAAAATATACCTACTATTGCTTTATTGGGAATCGCCGTGGCGGTACCCCAGATCGCCTTTTGAAAAATCAACTTAACTACTTATGAGTATATTTTGGTGATGAACAAATTCGTTCTAACCTTTTAATAGAACGAAGAATCGGTAATCTACAAATAAGTATTTTTGTGCAAAATATCTGACAGTGCCCTAAAATACAGTTATCGATAGAATCTCCAGTTTTTACCTGAAAAATTCCCGGTGCATTTCTTTCGTCACCTCTTTGGGGTCCATAAGCCACACGGCCTGAAGTTGGTTAGCTTTTTTTCCATTGCAGTAAATAGGACTGCCTACAAAGTTGCTGAACTTACGAATAATTTCACGAATCTTATCTTCATCAGCAAATTCTCTCGAGTCGGCCTTAAGATGCAAAACGATCTTTGTGCCTTCCTGTACGCCTTCAGCGCTCTGAATCTCATACTGGCCACTGCCATCGCTAGTCCATTTGTATGCTTTGTTACCGCGACGACTCTTCGAAAACACTTCAACTTTATCGGCCACCATGAAAGCTGAGTAGAACCCTACACCAAACTGACCAATGATCGACTCTGTGTTGGCCTTCCCTGCGTTCTCCTTGAGGAATTGCTTAGAGCCGGATCGCGCAATTGTTCCCAGACATTCGATCATCTCCTCTCGAGTCATGCCGATACCTGACACAGAAGTCAACGCTTCAGTAGTGGGCTGAAAATACTATTCGAGCTGGTGTCGGCGTTGGATCCACCTATTTTTTTCACTATTGATGTTCGTCCATAGTACGCTATTATCGTTCGTTTTCAATAAGAGCTTATTTTTTCCTTAATCAAACAAGAGCTCGTGTCAAATGGGTAATCTGTATATTGCCGTATTTCAAATATAATAATTTATTATTTTATTACTGATTTTAGCATACTACCTTATAAGCTTATATAGGCCTAATGAAAAACGAATTTTGTGTAGATATAATTGAACTTAAATTTCATTCTACCTCTTTTCAACTTATTATTAGCACAATTAGTAACGTACCCGTATCCTGTATCGTGAACGTTCGGCTATGTTTATCGGTGGCAATGTGTATCTCCAAGGGAGCCTCCTGAGCGACTTTGTCGTCGGCTAGCTCCGTCAATCGAAGGTACCTGCACGTTACGTCGCACATATTTAGAAATTGGAATAGTCCCAAATAATCAATTTCATAAATAATTTTACAGTCATTTCAAGGAAAGTCACTTTTTAGGGAATGTCAAAAACGAAGTGGTTGTATGCCAAAACTCATTCACCTCATACGTCTCATTTAAGCATTTGTTAAAAGCGTACCAGTTTTATTATTGCCACTATAGTTAATTTCATACGTATCCAACAAGACAAGAAATTAGCTCATACCTGAACTTCTCGAGTGCGTCCGAAGCGTTGGAAATAAGCTCGCGCACAAAGATATCCTTGTCGGAATATAGACTTTTTGCAACTATATCCAACAGCATTCGAGTTTCAGCTTGAAATTCATGTTTTTCGCCTTCAGGACCCGTGGCTTTTTCGCTGTCACCAATAATATTATGATAGCCATCCTCAGGGCTGTTTTCCCTTGGGGCTGCGGTGCTAAATGCACTACGCAGAATCTGTGAGGATGGACAATATCTGATGTGGCCTCGCTCAAAAGGTTGTTGCTTTGATGGTATTACAGAACTAACGGGCCGTGCCTGAATCGGACGAGCTAAACTCCAAAGCAGTCGATTTCCTGGTGCTCGGGTAAGCTTCACAACGTGGAAAGCCGCTGAAGACATCGCAAAGGTAGACGAAGGTGTCCAGTTGGAAGATAAACTATCCTCACACTTAAATCGGTTTGTTTCTCGCAGATGTACGTGCACAGATTTGTAGGCAAGTTGTCAACAAAATACAGTTCCTTTTTAACGGCAGAATAGTTCACTTTCGTCCAAATTCCGCCGCTATCGCTGCCGGCAGGCTCAGGCTATCTCGAAGATTCCTGCGCGGTTTGAAGCGTACGCAAGCTTCGCGCGGTCAGTTTAGCTTAAAAGTACAAGAAAGAAGACAGCCCTGAAAACAGATTAGAATGCGTTGTAAGCACTCAACTTGATCTTACCCTGCAGTTCGATGGAGATACTTCGTTTGATGATAGCTCTGTAAAAGAACTCTACAAACTTGTAGAAGTCGCCGCATGTCATAGAAACGTGCAGAACACGGTCACCTCACCCAACTCATAACAAAGAACCCATTTGTTGAGCAGACGACGCTGCCGGCGATTAAACGCTCATCGTCTAATGTGCGGTTATACGCTTAATCGTCAAATAGGTATTAGCTCTTATATACAGTAAACCTAATATGTACACATTCTATGATCAGGTAGTAATGAAGCTATACTTTTCACATGTATGATCTGATAGTATTCGCGCGATTTATTTAAAATCTTTATCCTTCACGTTCATTGCTGCGAAGAGCGGTTCAGGATTTAGTAACGTTTGTTTTGGTTCGCCCTCACCTTTTTCATCGGTCGGGGAGTTGGTTCGATTGTTTTCAACTGGCCCCGTGACCTGTATCGGTAAATGTTTCCGTAACCAAAAATCCATTTGTACGTATGCTGCGTTGCTAAATCCAAGCCAAACTTAGGACGTGTTCGCTAGCCTATTGTGCGTTGTGAAATAAATGTAGTGGCGTATTCGCCGCGAGACAAGCGAAACAGGCAGCGTAATGGGAAATTGTTGTTGCTGTGGCGAAGATAAAGATGCTCAGGTAAGTAATAACATTCGAAGCAGCGATACTGAACGCTATCATCGGCCCATGGAGAGGACGGGGCGAATCCTATTGTCGACCAGTCGCATTGTACTGTACAGTACAAAGCTTGTTGCAGCGGGTGCTAGATTACAGCCGTTACAGGAAGGATTAAAATATGAAAGTCATCTTATCGTTACGGCCAGCCGTGGGTCAGCTGGCTCGAGTTGCCCACAAAAGAAAAAAATCAATTTCCGCAAACCTCAAGACCAAATCAGCGTTATTATGGCCTGCTTTCGTAACATTTTATGGTTTCTCCCAAACTAGATGGGCCTACTTACATCCTGCTCTTTTATTTAGTTTATTATTTTAGTCGTTTTTCGAGTGGCGTTCGGAAAAGTGTGCACTTGGTTTAGCTGCAGAAATGCCAGAGAGATGAAAGCATAGAATGCCGTACAATTACGGTATAAAGACAAAATTGCACTGCGCCGAATCTATTTTCAGACCGACTTTTTTCTTTAAGAATGACGATGCGGGTGCTCTAAAAGCAGGTTATGTACTATCGGCAAAGGTGAAGGTTTCAATTTCTCCTGACCAAAATTTTGCTCACGAAACCAGACCATCAATGGGATATTTTGCGGTTTGTTTCCAAGTGTGCCAGTAAATACCGCTCCTAAGAAGATCGCACCATGCTTGGCAGCAGAACTAAACCATCGTTTTACTAAGCGTGTCCACCCACCTGCGCAGATAATATTGCTTTAATACAAGGTTTTCCATAGCTACACTCGATTATTTTGGAGTATGTGCCGTAAACATCGCTTCCGATAAAATGAATGACAAGCTTTCATTTTTAGAGTAACTGCCATTTACAATAGTTGAATGAAAGTGTTTGCAACTTTAGAGAATGTTTCAGAAGAAATTCAGCTCCATTATTTAGTTCTGTAATAAATCAAAATGAACTATTTTCATAAAGCTAATCATTTTTTATCAATTGACTTTATTTGCTGAGTAAGTAAAGATGATTTTTACTACCTTTATAAATATATTAGTAAATTTGTAATAAAAATTTCTGGATATGTACTAGTCTGGATGTACAAAACTATATGTGATTATTGCATACATACGTTGTATTGTACAAAAATTACTGTTTAGTTAAACTATGCAGTAGGATATTACTTCTGGATTTTCTTTTATTGTTTCCTATAGGGAGAAAACTTCGATACGCGGGGACTTTTGCCAAATCCTGTATCATCCGGATCGATCCAACAGTCATACCAGTAAGTGATTCTTGAAAACTATCAGACCAACCTAGAATGACAGCATCGTACACAGGTACCTTCCTTACGCCTATTACAAGGTTATAACGCCATATTAACGCATAGAAGAAGGCTGAAAAGGGACAAAATAATAACAATAATATCTTAATATTGTGGCAATTATCCTGTTATTGTGGCTTTATTACAATGACTGTCCACAAATTTACAAAATTTATTAAAACTGCAAAAGTTACAAGATTTATATTACACTGTTTGACTTAAATTGCAAGAGCATACCTTGTCTCAAAACATTATATACACTAACACACACAATTCAAAATTTGATAAATAATCAATAAATTTATGTGGTGGACTTTGGTGGTGGACTTTACGAATAAACGAAATGCAGGTATTTAGAGTACACTGATCATGATACGTACATTGTAAAAAATTAGATATACGTCATAAAACATTGTATATATTTTATTATGAACATAGGATGTTTCGCACTCGATTAGGTTTGCGCCATTTAGCCATACTTCTAAAGTTTAACATAAGTTCATACTTAATCTTCAGTGAAAGCTACGGATCGACGAATAAAATTGAAGACGAGGAATCGAGTGAGCTGAACCGAATCCTTCAAAATACGATGGCGTAAGCGAGCTTCATTTTTTTTTTCACTCTTAACAATAACGAATATTGGTAGATTATTGTTCGTAAGAAAAATACGTGCTACGTCGGAAATTTGCATCGATATATATAAAGATATAAATGAAGAAAATAATAATTTTAATTCTAATATTCTAATATTTAAAAGAATAATAACACAGTGAGCTTAGCACTCGTTCGTTAGAAATATATAAGTGTTTGATTACGATTAAATTGTGGACCTAGCTGAGCTTAATTTTCGCACATATTGTGAACCTTCATAAAATTGGTTTTTCTCCTATTTTACGGTGGTTACATATTTCTTTTTTCGCTACAGACATGTAATAAACATCCCATCACTTGGACACTACATGGATAGTTCGGAAACAACCCAACGGGGTCGACAATACCACTATAAAGTGGATCAATTGCTTTCTCGCACCCCCTACCAGAAGAAAGCCCGGCTATGCTTATTACAGGTATAAATTATAAAATTAGCTATTGAAGCTATTTAGTAGGTTTGACAAATATTCCTGTTCTGCGCATTCACAACTTATCGTCACTAATATACGAATAAGTCATACGACAAAATGTTGATAGTTCTGCTGTTGTCCTGTCGGGTTTCTTTTTAATTAAGGAAGCGGATCTCTCGAAGGTGCTGTATTGGCCGGCTATGAGCGATCAGGAATTTCGTCAAGTAGACGATATTGCATCGTTACTGAACCAAGCTCTCGTCGATATTCAGGTGGAGTCAAGTGAACCACTTGTCGTCGACTTCGGCACATCGCTATGAAACCTCTTACCACATTTTATTTTAATCAGCCAAATTAGAATTTATAACAATCTTATATATGTCCAAATGCTTCTTGAATTAATCATCGTTGAAGATTATCTATGTGGCTCGTTTTTCCGGTCTTGGCGCGTAAAACACCGGCAAAAACCAATGTTGAACAGCACACTCGTTAGAATACGCTTACACGTGTAAGCTCATAAGCTGCTCCTATATACCTATGTACTTTATATTTTTATGCGACTGTCTGCTCCGTACGGTTCTGCAGATACACTAAATGGAAGCCGCACTATTGTATAGTCAAACGCGCAGTGGCTGCAACTGTTGTAGACATACTTTCGAAAAATGAATGTGGCAACTTCCAATACGAGGGTGACCAGAGCTTATTAACCATAGTAGAGACCTTTCATAAATATATTTCTATTATCAAGGGGAACTAGGTTACACGATTATAACCGTAATTGACATTCGCTCGTACCGATACACAACAGTAAACTTCAATGGAATACAAAAATTTAGATGATATTGTTTAAATGAGCTTAACATAATCATACTGTGTCTGCAGTAGCTTGGTCCCTGTGATGAGCATTCGTCTATTAGGGTTTTCTTCTCCTTACCTGTCTCTTATAAAGCAATATCTTCTCTTATGTAGCAATAATTGGAAACAGACATGCACTTCTACGAAAATACGAGTGTCGACAAAAATGGTTTGGTGTTCGTGAGTGTGAATGTAAAAGCAAGTTGGCGTGTAGGTACTTTTATATAGACAAGTGTCAAAGTATTGATTATTTTCACACCTTCATATATTTTCTCATACAATAAAGCTAATATCTATAATTTGTGCTTTTCGACAGCTGAACGTAATACTAATGCATTGCCTAGTGCATTGAAATCTAGTTTCTTTTACAACCAATTAGGGTTGGTGTGCATTAGCCGCCTTTAGTTATATCCACAATTATTTCTGGTACAGGTTTCATAAACATTTTAACTGGTTAGTTACTTGTTTTAGATAGCTGTTTACAATTTGTCCACGCATTCACGCATACAGAATCAGTTGTATTATTAAGAGAAGTGTAACACATGGCTTGTGAGGTTATTCCATGCGTTTCGCACGTCCCTCCCAAGCGCTGTGTGCAATTCAAATAACGCCCCAGCCAAATCCACTGTATATAGTAATAAAGGAAGAACTTGCTATCCGACTATCTTGTTATCCCGATGCGTGCAATATTATTGATACAGTTAAACTGCATCTGTTAAATAAAGTGTACATTATAACGTTTAACAGGTTTCTGTTATTAATGCAAATAGTATATATTTTGGTACGACGTATGTAGGGATTTGAGCAAAAAACATTGCCAGTATAGCATACATCCCAATCTGACTGCTTCACAGCAAATATAAGCTGAATATATTCTGACCTACACTTCAGTGCGATATAATTTTCAACAGATGCTAAGCTTTTTCGATACATATTTTTGGTTAAAAGAATTGTCAACTAGAAAATTTACAATGTTATTTCTAGAGAAGTCAATGAGTACTGGTTTTACTCATTAAAAGAGACTTCATACTAGGGGTCGCGCCGGAATTTAAATTATATTTTTAATATTATCCGCGTGACCGCTGTAACTTAAGCAAATAATATAGCTGGAACAACTATAAATGGCAGGCACCGTTTACATAGTAAGAATATTCATTAAACATTATTTTTTAGACTAGCAAAAAATTGATATCGCTATTTTTTCAATAGGCTTTGCTTGTAAATAACTACCAAATTTATTATTTAATAGTTATAATATAGATTACTATTAAACCGGGAATGCCCAAAAAAGAGTAAAAAAAAAGAGTAGTAACGCAGGCCTATTCTACAGATTTTATTTAAAACTCCGTACCTTTGCCAAATAGTAGTCGAGGCAGAAAACCCTCCTTGTACTACAAGCGGCTATAAGGATCCCTTAGATTTTTATATCACGAACTTCTTATTTCTGTTTTTTTTTTCAAATATGAAAGTTGTTACGGTTGATATAGATTTTTTCCGTATATTCCGTAACCTTTATGCTTCATTTTATTAAAGCCAGTATGTTAGTTTCGTTTCAAAGTAGGTTAGTCGGAAGTTTTCTAAAAGGAAGTACAGTAAATGCTTATTTTAAAAAGACATCATTCTCCGAGGGCCAAAAATCTTCATCGCCTACAACCCCACCATGAAGCAGCAGTCAAGCAAGAAAGGCCTACAGTAAACAGTCACTGCGATAATTGGAGTTTCATTTAAACAAGCCTGTATTAGTTTTTTTTTTTATTTAACACCTACTTAAATTATATTCGCGAAATTTAGCAGGGGCCTATGTCCTTAAGTACAACATAATGCAGTACGGTTGTTCAAAAGAGCCCGCGCTGCTGACTGAGTGTTCCCTTGACAGAACACACCATAAGCATTCTTCTGTGAGCGGAACAGCTGATGGTGGAGGAACGAGCGCGCCCGTTAAATCTGAGATGCCGCTAGCATAATTAATTTTTCTTCCTTTATCAAATACAGATCGCTTTAATATAATCGAATCCTTCACCCTCGACCCACTTTCTCCGGAAATTATCCGCATCAACGCCACTTTACAGCTACGCTATGGCTATACTTCTAGATCGTCTAAGGATGCATGCTAATTGCGACACAATCGCTATGTGCAGTGATTGTAAACGGTTTCTAGTTGGCACGTACGAACTTCAGGATAGGGCCGAGCAAATCAGGTTAGGCTCGCTTTCGCTGTTTACCTCAAACGGTAATAAGTTCCAGTTGGTAACGACCTGTGAGGCTCCTGCTGGCGTTCTCGACGTTAAGTTTAGAAAAGACCAGCCAGTAACGATAGATGATGGAAACGAATGTTTCGCTGCAGCTTTAGCCGACGGAACCATTCGACTGGGATATGTTACTCATGATAATCAAGTAAAAATACAAGATAAAGCTACATTAGGATTACAGCAGTCGAATAATAAAAGCTTAGCCCTTTCGGTGTCATGGAGCCCAGTTAGTTTAAGCAACCTTGAGCCTAATATCGCAGCGACTTTTAGCTCCGGTATACTTCATGAGTACAAGCTGACTAATGTAGCGAGTTCGCTTGTCTTTATTAAAGAACACGCTGTGAGCCAATTAGAAATCTGGGCTGTTTTGCACAATGGACAGGTCATTTATACAGGCGGAGACGACTCTAAACTTAGGCAAACAACGACTTCAGACGGTGGTTCGCGAGTGATTCGACGTTTTGAAAGCGGCGTTACGACGATTGAAGCTGATCCGTGGAATGAAGGGCATCTTCTAGTAGGAACGTACGAGGATAAACTCTATCAGTTCGATCTACGGATGATTCAAAATTCAATACAAGAAGTCCATACTGGGGGTGGGGTCTGGCGTATAAAAACTAACCCGACTCAGTCCCGGCTTCTAGCTGTGGCAGCAATGCACGCCGGAGCTTTCGTCGTAGACTGTCACAAAGAGACCTGGTCAATTAAGCAGCATTTTACTGGACATGAATCAATGTGCTACGGAATAGATTGGTGGGATGGAAGAACCGTTTTGTCATGTTCATTCTACGACCGCGAATTGGCTATGTGGAAATTAGAGGAACAATAACAAAGCTTTTTGTCTTTTGGTGAAGTTTA